CCAGCATTTACCTAGTGTTTCTTACTGGGGACACCTCTGGCATTTGAAGGGTACCATTCTAAATTGTACATGAGTGTCCCCAGTTATTTGTGACAACCTAAACCCCCCTCCCCCATTTCCAGATGCCTTCTTTAGGAGGGTGACCTACTCCAGGCAAGAACCACTGATCCAAATCTGTCGTTTTACTGATGTGAAAACAGAAGCCCAGAGAGGGAAGGAGGCTGCCCAAGAGTGCACAGCATTGGCTCTGACTCACCCTTCAGTGCTCCCTCAGACTTGCAGCTTGGGCCTGGAAAGAGTGGAGAGGCTCTACCTCTGAGAACTGACTGTATTTTTATTGGGGCAAGTTGTTGACAAATGGCCTCACTGGCTGGGAAGTCACTTTATTTATCAGCTGGGATAGTTTCTGGCGGCTGCGGTTCCATCTCTCCTCCATGCCTGCTGCTTTGTAAGCTCAGGGGCAATCCTATGGCCTGTCAGCTCCCCCTGATGCTTCCGGGGCAGGGTGGGAGCATGGGGGCCATGGGTCTTTCCTGGGAGGGGCTCTGACTGCATTGAGCCTTTCCATCGCTACAGGGCCCAGGCCATAGTATCACAATAGAAAAATACTGAATAAATCAATAAAGAATGTAACGGAAGAGCATAAAATTATGGGAAATAGGGCCAGTCATGGAACACCTAGGACCTAGGCACCATTCACACAAAACCAATCCCTGAATAAGGCAGCTGTGGAAAATGAGCCTCTGCTCTCTCATCTCTTTGTGTCTTAGCAAGGGTGGTGGTTTAAACCCAGGTTGGCTTATAGCACCCCCTGTCCCCTTCCGTCAATACCAGGCCACACCCAGGACAGCAGCTCAGACTCCCAGTCTCTTCCTAGCTGTGTGACCTTGGACAAGTTATTTAAGCTCTCTGGGCCTCTGCCTCCTAATCTGCAAAATGGGGATAATAACAGCACCTGCCGTCAGTGGGTTGTTGTGAGAAGGAAATGAGAAAATCCACTCTGCCCCCTATCTCAGGGCCTGGCACATAGTAACTGCCCAGTCGACTGTAGTTACAAATTGAAAAGCCTGGCGGTGGTGAAGCCACTTCTCCTTGTGGAGACCCGAGAGCACACGGGCCTGGACCCCAGAGTCAGAGGAGCTCAGCAGGGACAAAGGGTGAATTGCCCGGCTTAGGGAACGGGACAAGCAGCCCACACACTTCTGCTGTCCCTGAAGCCCTCAGTGGGCTTCTCTGGCTGCCCAGAGAAGGTAGATCCACTTTAGAAATCAGCCAAAGCCAAATATAATTAGGAAGGGGAGTCTGTGACAGAAAAAACAAAATGCATGAGGGGGTGACATCCCAGGCCAAATTGGAAAGAGTTTGCAACTATCTGCAAAAGCATGCAAAGTCCTCTTATAATTATAATAAAGATAGCGCTTAGTCACCTTCAGCAGAGTGGATAATTGACTCACTGCAGCTCTGCCTCATTGCTCTGTCATTGCTGGGGAATGAGGTGTTTCAAGTGAATTTTCTAGATAACTGAAGCTTATCCCTGCAAACCCTAATATTTTTTTTTTCATCTAATCACTCTGGGGGGAAATTTCTCTGGAATGGATTACACACTTCTCTGCCTCCTTAATCAAAATATTCTAAATTGAATGTAACCTCTTCCTGTCAATTTGGATATGAGGGGCTATTGGCCCCTGTATTAATGGCTTCAGGTTGCATTGCATGTTTTTAGTCTACGAATGTTTTCTATCTATTTCCATGGTTTGCTGCTATGACACACAGCTCTTGCCACATATTTTAGGAGCCCCATAAAACATGCAGACACAAATATATACACAGACACACACGCATGTGCACGCCAATATATGTTGTGAGCAACCAGAGTACAGCTTAACAGAATTGTGTTGACATGTGCTTCGGTAGTGCCCTAAACCACCCTTATTATAGCAGTGTCCCCAAACTTTTCGACACCAGGAACCGGTTTCACGGAAGACAGTTTTTCCATGGATGGGGGAGGGCTGGGGGAGGGTCTCCACCTTGGCTCCACCTCAGATCCTCAGGTGTTGGATTCTCATGGGGAGAGCAAGCTGGATGCCTCGAATGTGCAGTTTGCAGTGGGGTTCCTGCTCCTATGAGGGTCTGATCTGACCTGACGGGGGGAGGGCGGAGGGCGGTGATTCGAGTGATGAGGAGCCACTGTGGGTGTAGATGGGGCTCCACCTACCCACTGCTCGCTTCCTGCTGTGCAGCCCGGCTCCTGGCAGGCCGCCGATGCAGGTCCATGGCCCAGGGGTTGGGGACCGCTGTATTATTGCACTTTTGCAGTGTAGCATGAATGCTGCTCCTGCATTTCTGCCTCTACTAGACTAGATACTCCAAGAGGGCAGGACACTTTCCAGCACTAGTAGGTGCTTGGTGAATGTTTGTTGAATGGACTAGAAGAATGAAAGCACCCATTCTTTATGGGGGACTTCATGACAATATTCTGGCTTCCTTATCAGAGGCATAGTTTTGCTTCCTGCTGGGATTTTGGCTGTGCCAGGAAGAATGGAGGTCACCTGATAAGTAAAGCATAACCCTATGCCATGGGACACACCAAGGACATACTGCCTCTGGACTCCAGTAGTTTCATACAGAACCAAGGTCTCAGGGCAGTAACTGCCGCCCCAGCTAGTAAAGGGAATCCCTTGTTCTGGGTCCTGAGGTTGTTCACAGTAGTGAGCAGAGAGGAAGTGGCCAGTCTCTGTGGTATCTTTGACCTTTGCTATGCAGCTGCCACCTGGTCCCCAAAGCCACCGCTAAGTGTCAATCCTTGGAATCATCCCCAGAAAGCATCCCATTTACCTGCAGTGGAGAGAGCCGGAACCCCAAGACCTGGGCCTGCCCTCGCTGTAGCTTCGGGCAGTCACGTAATGGGGACCCTTTATTATATTTCCCCATCTGTAAAATGGAAGAAATAATAAAACCTAACTCACACGGTTGTTGTGAGGATTAAATTTCAGTAATGGATGTAAAGTTTCTAGGGTGGTGCCTGGCATATAGGGAGCACTTAAAATGTGGTTGTCATTATTTTTATAATGGCGTGACATCATATGTACATTAAACTTAGGTGAATTCAACGATACGTGCTTGGCAACAGAAAGAGAGAGAGAAATGGTACCGTAGGGGGCTCTGCTAGCCTTTCTGCTCACGGAGTGTGCGCCCCGGAGAGTGGGTGAGGGGGAGACGCTGAACTTCTGGATACTGAGTTGCTCTCTGTCCTGTCCTGTCTCTTTCAGCGTGAGTGGAGGTTGTAACTATAAACCGGCTCAATTTCTGCCTTACTCACTGTAATACCAGGTGGAAAATGCAGGGTGAGGCTCACTCACAATTTGGCAGCTAAGTTTGTATGTGTGAATATTTGGGGCACAGATGAAGAGAGATGAACCAAGATAGGGTGATGGGGATTCCAGGCCTCAGAGGTTCTGTCTACTAAAGGATTATGGGCAGGCTCCATGACATTGGCCACTTGACTCTGGTCAGCAGGTGGGAGGGACATGTGGGGGATTCGTGGAGCTGGTGGAGTGATCCTTCCCCCAAACCTTTCACCGCCAAAGATCCCATGTACTCACGGCCACGCTAGAACCTTGTCCTCAGTACATGCCCCACACTTGAGCACCACTGTACCTTTGCTCATACTGACCCTACCCCAATGACACCTTCCCAATCCCACTCACCTGCCCCCTTTCCTCTCGGAGTGTCCAAAACCTGGAGCACAAAGATCAACTGCTCATCTCTACACCTTCAGGCAGTGGAGTGACTAGCCGTTCCTGTTTGCCCATGACAGAGGGATTTCCCAGAATGTGGGACTTTCAGTGCTGAAAGCAAGATGGTTGGTCACCTTATTGGTCAGACAAGAGAGACATCTTTTACAGCCCACCTGGGACACCTTCTCTTCTAGGAAGCCTTGCGTGATCTTCTTAGCTAGGAACAATCTTTTTCTCCATTGAACTTCTCCTAGAACATTATTTGTGCCTGCCCAAGCCCCATACCCCACTCCCACCCCAGAATTTGAGCAAATGAGGCTACAGTTTGAGGACATCTTGTTATTTGGTGTCCTGTATGCACCAGGTGAAGGGTCAGGGTGGGAGGTGGCGGCAGGCTGGGTGACAACCCTGGGCTCTGCCATTCAGCGCCTTCCCACAGCTGTAGAGTGTGAATTTCTGCAAAGCTGGCTCAGCTATCACTCTTTGAAACATTTAATTACATGTAAAGATCTTGAAGGCTGTCTGTTACCTCCCAGGGAAGCATTTCTTTTTCCTGCTCCTTCTGAAGCTGGCTGCTTGGAAAGTAATGAAATTGAACTGAAGATGAAGCAACCAGGGAGGAAGGCATTACCGAAAGGGAGAAACATGAGAGAGAGATGAAAAGGGTGACGGGGAGATGGAGCCAGGGGAGCGGCAGGGAGTTAGAGGAGGAAGTGCTCCCGGAGAGTGAGATGCAAGAGGTGAGAACAGGAGTGATTGTGGGGAAGAAAGAGAGGGGGGCCGGGAAGACAGGGAAGTGCTGGGCTGGGGAGGCACCAAGAAGAGGGGTAGGGTCGCAGAGAAGAGGGGTGGCCATAGGAAAAGAAAGGGCCTGGCTGAGAGGAACGGAGAGCCAATGAGGAAGAGTTTGGCAAAGACAGAGGGAGGTCAGCAGCCTGTGGCTCCAGAATTTCAACACAGGAGGGGGAGCTCCCAGGCAGCCGTTTGGTTGGAGGGAATGGCCCCGACTGTGAGATGCGTTCTGAAGCTGCCCGGAGGAAACAAGCCCTCTGCGCTCCTTAGCCTGTATGACTATGTGGGTGGCTTGGTGGAAGAACTCTCGGAGATTACGATGTGCCAGAGACCCAGACACCACTTAGGGCCTCCTCTCCAGGGAGGAGCGATGCAGACACGGGGAGGCCGCATGGGCATCGGATCCCTTCCGGTTCCGTCCCAAGGAGAGCCCGCAGGGCCCCCAAGCCCTGACCCTTCCCTCTCTTGCAGGCTGCGACAGCGACCACTGGGGCCCCCACTGCAGCAACCCGTGCCAGTGCCAGAACGGCGCCCTGTGCAACCCCATCACCGGCGCCTGCGTGTGCGCCGCCGGCTTCCGTGGGTGGCGCTGCGAGGAGCTCTGTGCGCCCGGCACCCATGGCAAGGGCTGCCAGCTGCCGTGCCAGTGCCGCCACGGCGCC